TCAAAAAGATATGTGCCCGAAGTATTTTATAATTATAAAAATAAATACGGTATTGAAGTTAAAGAAAGTGCAAAACCTAGCTTTCCCGTTGAATATCTGTTGGTTAATGTAAGATTATTGTTATTGTTGTGATAAATTAATTAACAACAAAAGCAACAACAACAACGATAATAAATAAAATTATTATTATTATTATTATTATTATTATTAGGTAACGCATGGGTTTCCATTCAATCCGAATCCTCTTTTCATTTCAAAAAAGACTTTTCCAATTGCAAATAGAAGTGTATTGGAAACTCAGGATTTAAGAAATTTACATATTTACCTTGGATCTACATCCAGTGAAGACATTGATAACGAATTACTTTCTAATTTCCAATTATTAACTTATATAAAAAGCACAGATATTCTAGATCAGGTAATAAAAATAACGATAATATATAAATAAATTATTAAATATTAATTAATTTATTAACTTATTCAATATTATAGAATGACTTTTCCTCATTGGTAAAATGCGCAACTTCACATGAACCAAACGATGCAGTTCAATTAGCAATCAATCCTGGTTGGCAAACATTATTAGCAATCATGAGAGAGAAATATGGTAAGGTCTTAAATATCACATACAGCGCTTTAAATTTTTTTTATTCATATATAAAAGTCATGGATTGTTTACTAAATATTTATTACTATCATCAATTCATCAAAACAGAAGATTTCTTTTAAAGATTCAATTCTAAACGTAGTTGCCAAGTGTAATTGGCACATTAAAAGCATAACATGTTGCATCTTACCTCTAAATAGTTTCATATTATACCAAAAAAAGTTAATTTTTAAAGTTCAATTCTTAAATTTTTCGTAAAAATTGAACTTGTAAATAATATTTTAATTTAACTTATCTGTAATATTATCGGGTTCCTTGTTTCTTTTATATACTGTTAAGTTTGCTGATTCCTTTTTAATGTTTAAATTCCCAACATGTTATTAAAATATGTACATATATTATTATTATATGTATTCTAAA